GTGTTATTAATAAAATATGAATCAAGTTTATGTCTATGATATTTTCTTTTTTCTTTGCTTTTTTGAGATGTTAGTTTTATATTAAATTACATAAATAAATCTCTGCTCAGTAGAATTGAACAGATTATTTATTAAAGAATATTAAACAAAATTTTTCAAATTCCTTATTCTGTTCCAATAATCTAATATTGTAAAATTTTCTGGTTCTAAAAATTCATTATTTTCATTGTAAAGATTATTTAAATATTCATTACAATCTTTGCAAATTTTTATACAATATGATAAATTATGATTTCTAACAGACATAGGTCTGATCTTTTTACATAAAGCATCTTTACATTCTGATTTACAATGAATTGAAAATCATAAGAATATACTACACAATACGTAAATAATTCACAATTCTGATATCTGCTTTTTCCATATATTTCAAGTTCATTCAATTCAATAAACATCAAAGTTTTCTTAAAATGATCACAGTATAATTGATTATTATATATATGAAGTTTATGAGAGCAAGAAAATTTAGAGTAAGAATCAACATCACCATCTTTGAGATCGATCCAAATGTTTTTTGGACAGTAATATATGTTCTATTTGAAACGTTTTGGTGATTCATAATCTCAATTGTATTTCTTTTGGATCAAATAATATTTTGTTCCAAATTGAGCAAAATAATATCTATAAAACTGACAGAATAATTTACACACAAATTTTAGTTTTTGAAATTCAACAAATCTTTGATTATTTAATGTAAATTTTGATAATTTTGTGATATCTGAAGGTATTAATAGTAAAAATATTATATAAAGTATATCATCTGGTAAATAAATAAATAGTCTTCTGTTTTTAAAATTCTTTATAGAATACAGATTGATTTTTTTGCGTTTGTGTTTTTCTTGAGACATAATTATATAAATAAACTTCTGTTCAGTACATTTTACTGAACAGATGAATTTGTGAAGTGCTAATTGTGTCTATGATGTATTTACATAAATTTGCTAATAGAATACATGTTCTTTTACAAAAGTAAGATTATTGTAATAAATTAATTCTGTTATAATTATCATCTTCAAATCGATTAATGGTTCAATTGATAGGTTGTAAAGTTGAGAAGAGGATTTCAATCAGTCACGTTTTTTCTGTTAATAGTATAAAATCATTGAATTTATTAATATCAAACTTGTTTTTTGTTAGAAAGTTTATTAGTGAAGAAGATTTTTGCATCTTCATGTAAAGTTTTGTTATCTCAACATAATTCATAATTTTGATCTGGTTGTTATCAAATAATTGGTATTGCATTTTGTTAAAATTAAGAGAGAAAGAATTTTTTTTACCTTTATATATGTTTTTATTTACTTGATTTTGATTGTTTATCAGCTTGTAATTTATGTTTATGTGATATATTAGAGTAATAAAATTTGTCTAGTTTTAATTAAGTTTTTTGTTTTTTATTGTTTTCCTGTTTGTGTAATTTTTCAGTTGGTTTTCATTTAGTCATATCAGGTATTGTTTTAACAAACTCAGTTATCTTTTGTTAGTTCTCTTCAACAAAAAATTCTGTTATTGTTTGTAGCTTTTTAAGTTCCTTAGCATCGAATATTTCCTTTATTTTTTTGAGAACTTGCTTTTTCTCACAGCATAATAGATGAGCTATGATGTTTCACAAGCTATAAAAATAGTATACAATATCAATAGTATCTTTCTCTGGAGTGAAATGGTCTGTTAAAATCCTTTTATGTAAAACATTTGATACACATGATAGAAATTTTATATAATAGTAGAATCATCCTGGCTCAATAGAATGTTTCAATCTAGCAATAAAACTATTAACCATCTTGTTTCCTTTTTTTGTATCAGATTTTGTGATTTGCTTAAGTATTTCATTTTGTTCTTCTTTTGACAGATCTTTGTTTAATAATCTTACAAAATTGACTGCTGATACTGAAGCATATGTTGTGTCAAACTTGGCTGTAAGAACAAACAAGTCTAATAATGTTTCTTTTTTTATTGACATAGTTAGTGATTATCTAGATAACTAATTCTTTTTGGTCTATTTCTTCTTGTCTGATCAAGAAATCTTTATTGAATCCAAGTAAAGAATATATTAATTCTTTCGCTACTAGTTTGTAAAACTCTGTTACATTACGTTTAATGGTTTTGAGACCTTTCAATAGTAAATTTAAATTGTCTAAATTTGGCACATCTGAATGAGTAATTGCAATATAATGCTTTTTTCCAAAAATTAAAAAGGAGTACATGGTTTTTTCATAGGTTATCTTTAAGTATATAGATTTTATAATCTGTTTCAAGTATTTATTAATTTTTGTTTCTAGTATCTTTGAGTGTAATATTGTTAATTTGATCTGCTCCTCCCAATACTCTTTTTTTGATAATAATTTGTTAGAGTACTTAGTATCAAGTTCTGTGAAATATGATTCTGGCAATGAATAAAATATAGAATCTGTGTCTCTATAAACTACTATAAATCCTTGTTCTTTCACGAAATCAATCATGATCTTTAATGTTGCTTTACAAAATACTGTAACTGATGAAGCAACTTCTTTATGATATAATGGTGAATATCTGTAACCTGTCTCACTATACACAGAGTTTGCAAATATTTTTAATGCATTTGATAATGAAGTGTAATATAAAAGTTTTGTTTCATTATTCTTGAACAATTTCATCTTTTGCTTCACATTATTTTATTTTTCTAATAATTTTTTACACATAAGAGCCATAATACCCATGTTGTTTATATCATTGTCATATGGTAAAAATTTACTATAGACAATGTCATTGTCAATTATGACATTTAAATTAGGATTAGTTGAATCTTTTGGTATATATTTTTTAAGTGATATGTTGTTTTGTATAATAGCATAAGAGTAATATGAAGTAAAATCAACATCTGCCACAGGTCTTTTAATGTTCTTAATTGGTGGAATGATCAGACCTCTATCATACATTCCTTGTTTAACAATTTTCTTGCGTCATGATGATACTAAAATCTTTTTAGATAATGCATATCTGCTAAGCAAATTTCGTATTAAACATCCAATATCATTGGTAAAAACATTAGAAATTGTTACACATGCAATTCTGGCTCTTTGTACATAATTACCAATTATGTTTTGCTTTAAGTTCAATTCATGTAATCGCAATGTATCAACTGAACAATAATATGCTAACTCTATCATATACTCTTCTAACATTGATTCTGAAACTTGAAATGCATTCAAACAATCAGAAAAAGGAATGTTTATTAATTTTGACAGCTGATCGGATAATTTTTCTAACATTTAATTGTTGTTTTTAAACTTTATTGCATTTATATAAACAAATATGTATCGTAAATCTGAGCTGTTTTTTGTAGGCACATATGGTAAATCAATTTTTCCAAAAAGGCCACAATGTTTTAATACTGCATCAAGAGTATTGGTAATTTCTGTTTAAAATGTTTTCTTAGCCCAGACCAGAAAATCAAGAAATACTGTTCGTAGAATTCATATGAATTCACACTTCATAGTCTCATTTGGTGATATCTTAATCTTTCAATTGTTTATATTTATTCCTGCAAATTCATATTTTAAATTATCTTTATCAATATCATGATCAACAACTTGTACTGTTACTTATTGTATATTGAACTAAAGAGTTGTTTTAGTTTTAGTTAAGAGTCTAATAAATTCATCATCTATATTCAATAGTCTGGCTTTTTTGAGTATAA